TGAGAACATGATAACAGTGCATGAGACATACAAATCATACATGATTAATTGGCAAAAGAAAAGGTCAATAGCGATGAATCATGATGTTGATGACTAACAATTGTAGGAGAAACTATCTACTCAATTTACTTATCTAATTTTACTGCCTAAAATGATGTCTTACGAATCATATATTATACCATGTTATTTAAAATAATAAAAAGAAAATTAACCAAATTTTTCATATTCTAATGTTTGATTCCATTCAATAACGTGTCATGATATTGTGATTACTTAGACGCTGCTTGAGACACTAAAAACTCAATCATTAATCCATATTCCTTATGTAACTCTACGGCAATTGGAAATAGTTCGTACAACTATATTACTATTCGTCGCAAAATGTTATAGATCATGAAGAACTGATGGACGACTAAGCATGCGTTTGTGTATACAAGCACACACACATATATATACACATATACACACAAACATATATATATATATATACACAAATATATATACTTGGAATTACATACATACCAGCAAGCAAGTCTGCGAGGCTGCCCATAGGATAATAATCACATAGAACAAACTTGATCCTCTTAGCATAGAGATAAGCCATGACAGGCACAAGATTATTCTTTGACTTAACACTCACCTGAAAAAACCTCTCTAATCTCTTCCCAAACTCACTCTTCCCAACACTCAGTTTCCTAAACCTTTTCAACACACAAATCTTCCCTCCCGAAAGCACCACTTTCTCACTCATCCCCAGCCGGCTCTGGTCCCCCAACACCGCAACCGAAGCCCTCAAAACCTCGTTCAGCATCAGCTGGCCGTGGGTCCACCCCGTGTCGTGATCCCCACATGATGATGACGAGTACTGTTTCATGATGATCTTGCCGTGATGATTTGGGCCGCAGTGGACCAACGGTTGATCTTCCATGAATCCAACGGCCGTGCTGAAGTCGTCGTATTCGCTCACCGAGACCGATTTGCTCCATCCGAATGTTGACTTTGACCCATATTTGAAGATCGTACTGATCTTCCTAGGCTTCGCTGTGAGGGCTCGGGACAGCATGCTTGGGAGCTTTGTGGGATTTTTTTTTTTTTTTTTTTTTTGTGTGGGAGCATTGGAATATATGGGAATGATGATAATTGAGTTTTATTTTGGTTTAGGTATTTGTTTATCAGCTAGCTGGGGCCAGGGTGTGTGGTGTTTCCTTGTGGGTAACGAATTTGGGTCCTGGTTTTGTTTGTCCTTTTTCTAGGGTGTTTGGGGTTCATGAAAATCCATGAACTAAATCCAAATGAGATTTATTTACCTTAAATAGCTTGATTGTTTATAATGTCTAACCTGGCAACACGTTGAGTGTAATTGGCGTACCTTAGCTTATTGTCCTTTTACTAATCTTGTATTTAGTGATGTGTTTAGCCTCCGATCAGAACCGTCCTTTAATATTACTTTTTTCTTTTCTTTTTGGAAGTCCTTTTGCTTCTCTTTTCTTTTCTTTTTTAGGGTAAAATTAAAGAATACATGAGTTTTAATAAGGTATGGTATTAATTTTGTCTCTTCAATAGGAGTCAGAATTATGTTAAGAATTAGACGCCTTAATTTTGTATTACCGAGAGCAATTAAAAACGTAAAAAAGAAATCAAACAGAAATGAATATACAAAATTTATGTTGAGGTTCGATTGAATGTGAGATTTATGTTCTCTTTCGGCAGATGCAGCCATTCATTATGATGAAGAAACGCACCTCACGACTCTCTGCTTTCTCTAATCTCTCTAATAATGACTGAAAACCAGTGTCCTCTTTTATAATGAAAAACTACGGCAACCGAATTTACAATCGTAAAATCTCAAAAATACTCTTAATGAAATTTTGCTCGCAAATCTCTGAATTTACAAGCACAAATCCTCTGCATAAGGTAATAATCGTCATGGCATAATTAGGCTCCGTATAACAAAATCTGCCCGTCCAGTAATCGTTCAAAAATCAACAAAATTTGTTTTTGCCAAAATTATCGATACCAGAGTATCTATTAGATTATCACAAGTAGTCTACTAGATTATCACATGTGACAAGTTGGGCTTTGATCACAAGGCCTGTGATCACAAGTTAGGAGGGGAGCATATCTAGCTTTTGGTAGGGTAATGCATGAGCATCAGTCATTTTAGAGATAAAAGAAGGGGAGAAACAGAAAAATATGTCAAGATTTGAGATGAATTAAAATTAAGAAAATAGTAAAAATTAGGCCAATATGAAAAGCTTAAGAAAGTATATAGGCTAATTTTTAGTCATAGAAATTAATAGGCCATAACTTGTCAAGTTATGGTT